ATATTGTAAATGCTAATCATTACTCCTTCATTTTTCTTACTTAAAAATATTAACTACCCTCTGAACCTAGCATTATTAATTTTGATGGCAACTCTAGCTTTGTACTAGGATCTTTATTATTTAACCATTTTTAATTTAGTGATTAATTTGATTTAATCTGTGATTAAGTTTTTCTGTAGAAGATTTTTCTCTTGTTATCTAATCAATATGTAATTTAGATTTTCTGATTTATTACATTTAGATGCCAGTGAACTCTGAAGTCATGTATCCACATTTAATGGAAGGATTTTTACCATTCAGCAATTTATTTACTCATCTGTGAGTACAGAATTGTTTTATTGCCTTAATCTACATTCATATTTACATTATATTAAGCTTTCTTAATGACATAATTTTCTTTGGGAGTAGAATTTCTACTATCTTCCTTTCAATACATCCTATAAATATTCAAAATTGTAGACCTCCATCAAACAACTGCCTCCGACCCTGGCACTTTTTCAGAATGCTTTCAATTGAAGTTCTAAGATGTCGCAAATCTGAAATTATCTGCCATCTTTGTGAAGGGCTTTGTGTTATTATAGAGTATTTGTTCAGGAGGGTGTGCTGTTATTAGAATCTATAACAATGACTTGGTATTGCATGAATACATGAGTAACAGAAAAAATAGGTTTCAGTGCCATAGGATTATGCATTAAAATAGACTCTGGCTTTGTCCTTTGATATTGACAAATAAATCCAGAAATCTCTTTTTGAAAATAGATGTTTATAACCTATGGCTTAGTATATAATTTGCAATATACTTTTTAATATTCTTTTTTCTCTTCATCTCCAAGGGACTCATTTCTGCCCATCTGCCAGGTGAATGACTTTGAGACTGCTGATATTCTATATCCAAGTAAGTGAGAATTTAAAACAATGTCTGGCTTCAATCTGCCATTTCACCTTTCCATCAGTAAATGTAAAGAAAAACATCTGCAAGGAAATTGGCTTTAGAAAGTGTTTTCCATTTTTAAGGATGAATTGTTTTAATATCCTATTGGATTTTTTTCCTTTGTAGATCCACAAAAAAGGTATTTTTCTAATTACTTTTTCTTAACTCCTTCTGTTTTAAAAATGTTCTGTGAATCTGGGAATATACTATAGTAATATGCAAATGTGATTTTATATAGTAGATTCATCATGCACAGTTTATCAACTGTGACAATTAACTTTTTACTAAGAAGAAATTGTCTTTTAGCACTAGTAAGAATAGTCATAATGTTGTATTAGAATGTAAAATTCTTGCTTTACTTAAGTGTCCCTTAATTCTTTTGAAACTCCTTTGAAACTTACTTTTTTTTTGGTTTGGTGTAAGTTTATACACAATACAATTCAACAATTCTAAGTATAAATTGGATGAGTTTTAACGTACGTATATTGTTATATAACCACTAACGCAACTCTGTATGGAACATTACCATTACCTCCCAGAAGTCACTCATGCCCCTTTGCAGTCAGTTTCCCTTTGGCAAACATTGATCTACTTTCTCTTACTATAGGTTTGACTTTTCTAGAATTTAGTGTAAATGAAATCCTACAGTCTGTAGTCGTTTGTGTCTGTCTTCTTTAAGAATAATGCTTTTGAGATCCGTACCCTAACTTATACTGTAGTGCTGCTTTGCCAGTAAGATAACATGCACAGGTTCCAAAGATTAAGATCTGGATAACTTTGGGTGCTATTATTCAGACTACCAATGGTCTATCTTGGTAAATATTCTTAGTACACTGGAAGAGTAGGTATCTTTGTTGTTGATGGGTGGAGTGTTCTAAACATATTAATTTGGTGTAATTGATTAATAGTTCAAGCCTTCTGAGTCCTGACAGATTTTCTGCTACTTATTCTATTGAACAGTAGATAAGTGTTGAGATCAGCTGTGATTGTGGTTTTGTTTGTTTTGACCGTCCATTTTATTTTTGTTTCGTATTTTTGTTTTGTTTTGAAGCTTTAGTTGTAGAGGTATACAGATATAGAATTGTTGTATCCTCTTGCTGTTATATTCTTAGCTCTGAAATATGCTTTGTTTGAGGTTAATATGGCCACTCTAAATTCCTTTCGATTTGCATTATCAGACATATCAAACTTTAACCTATCGGTGTCTTTATTTGAAATAGGTTATGATCAGTATATGTTTGTAGTTTTTTTTTGGCCAGGGCTGGGTTTGAACCCACCACCTCTAGCATATAGGGCCAGCACCCTACTCCTTTGAGCCACGGGAGCTGCCCTGGGTCTCACTTTTTTATTCTCACTTTTAATTGGAGTGTTCAGACCACTTACATTTAATGTAATTATTGATATGATTAGATTTGAGTTTACCTTTATGCTGTTTGTTTTCTCTTTGTGTTCTTTATTTCTGTTTTCTGCCCTATTTTGATTTATTAGAATATCTTTTATTTTATATAGCAGTGTATATGGAAAAGAGATTCTATCTTATCTCCATTTTTGGCTTGTCAACTACATCTCTTTTTTTATGGTATTTGCACCAGGGTTTAGTATGTATTTTTAACATACCATTGTCTTTCTTCAAATCTGTTATACCTTACAACAATATACTTTTGTTTTCCCTGCTTCTGGTCCTTGTGCTATTATTGTGTCATAAACTTTACTTCTATAGATATCATAAACATATGTATTATTATGAGATTTGCTTCAAACTGTTAATTATCTTTTAAAGGGATTTTTTAAATGGATAAAAATACCTTTTATGTTAACTCACATTCTGTGAAGTATATCCAAATTCCTATCTAGTATGCATTTCTTGTACCTGAAGGATTTCATTAACATTTCTTGTAGTGTTGATGAAAAGCCTTTATTTCACCTTCGTTTTTAAAGGTATTTTTTCTGAATCCTCTGTGGTTACAGAAGGCCAACTTTTCAAGTGAAGGTTAGTTGAATTGATGGATGCAAAAACTGCAGATACGCCTTGTCAGAGGAGTACATGGCCTTTTGTATAAGCATGCATGGATTTTGGTATCTGTGGGAAGTCCTGGAACCAATTCTCCCCAACCCCCCACCCCAAGGATGCCAGTGGATGACTGTAAAGAACTTAAGCTGACAGTTTTTAGTGCTTTAAAGATGCTGCTCCAATGTGTCTTCTGGCTGCGTTGTTTCTGATGAGAAGTCTACATCTGTTCTTACCTTTGTTTCTCTCTATGTCATTTGTTTTTGTTTTGTCTTCCTCTCTGCTTCTAAGATTTTCTCTTTATCACCAGTTTTCAGCAGTTTGATTATAATGTGCTTTTGAGGGTTTTTTCT